GGATGAAGAGTCAAGAACAGCATCCTGGACGTGCAGTTGACAGTGGGGCTAAGAGTGGAACAAGGATAGAAGCAGAGAGAGAGAGCCTGAACTGACTGCCTCTCAGGTGACCTTGGGAAGTCCTGTCCGTTTCCTCCCCTGCAAAGCAGAATAAGAGCACAGACCTCACAGAGTCATTGGATTAATGCATAGAAAGTTGTGTTGCTGTGCTCTCACATGATCTCATTTTATCTCTTACATAGAGGATGATTAGAATGAATGGCTTGGAGGGCCAGCAGGTGGCATGGTGGTTAAAGGCACAGGACTCCCATATTGCTGATCATGGTTTGAGTCCTGGACTTGGCAGCTTGCTTTGTCACTTTCTCTTTCTCTCTCTGTAGAAAAATTTTAAAATAATAATAATAAATAAAACTAAATAATAATAATAAAAAAATGAATGGCTTTGGGCTAGGAAGTGGGGTGGAGGTTAAAGCAGCTGGATCCCACATGACCAACTACATGGTTCAAGTCCCAAACCCTGTGGCTTGAAAATCATGGGCATGTATGCATGCCCCAAATATGGAGAGAACAATAGAGAAGGGATTGCAGCATGGCCATTCTCCCTGGGGCGTAGTTTCTCACTTTCTCTCTGTCTCTCTCTAGCAAGCCCATGCACCCTATAGCGAATTTTAAAAGAAAAGAAATGGACGACTCACAGAAGTAAAGACACTTGTCTTAGGTCATGGCAGACTTAGGATTCAAACTAACATAAGTTCTCTTCCCACCACTGTGCTCCTACCCACTACACAAAATGTTCAATAAATGTGCAGGGAGAGGCATGCTGAGAAGAGAGAGAGGTGCCGAGTAGAGGATGCAACGCAGGGCTTGTCCTGGAAGGAGGGCAGGAGCTAGGAAACAAGCAGCCTTTACTCTGCAGAGGGTCAGAGGCTGGCTTTTTCTAATGGTTGGTCCTCCCCACCCCACACACACACCAGGGGCATTTGCATTTTATATTTCGAATTCTTTGGGACTGTCATTGATCGTTCTATATTCAAAATAGGTTGGGGGTGAGGAGAGAGCCATGAACACCATTTTTGGGGCTCAAGTATGTCACCTTTCATTTGCAAAGTAGTGAACAGTTCATTTCACAGCTAGACCTTCCAGACTGAACGTCACTGAAGCCCTCCTTTTCCAAGAGGGACAGATGAAAATCAGAGAAGACTAACTTTTGAGGAACTCACTATGGCACCCCACCCCCTGCTCCCATTTAGGTCCCTGACACTCCCTAATTTAAAAAAAAAATGTTCATTTTTATCCATTTATAATAGAGTACATGTGCATGCACAAGAAAGAAAGAAATACACCACCACCCTCCCCCGCCTCCACCACCACCTCCACGGGATCTGGCCATGCCATGCTCTCCTCCCGTTCTCCAGCCTACCAGGATCCCGGACATAACCACACATACTCTGCGTGTTTTCAGGTTGACTGGACCAGGGACTTGAACCATGGTCAACATGTGGTTTCCAGTTCTGCAGTATGGTATACTACCAATGAAAACAGAGGCTAACCTCCCTTCTTTAAAATAAAAAAGAAAAAAAAAATCCCTCTACGCTCTAGTTTTCTTTAGTTACAACTCCACCTTATTTTCCACCAGAGAACTTGTTACCATCTGGCTCTACAGTGCACGTGTATGTTAACCCGATGATCATCTGTCTCTACTATTTTAGAGGTTGCATATGGATAGTATCCATGTGCCCATTTTACAGAGAAAGAAACCGAAGGTAAAGATTTATGAACGGCCAGGAATTATAGCACTGGGATCCACATGCTTCATTCTTTGATTAATTCTATTAATGCTTATTAAGGGCCTGCTATGCGCATTTCTGCCAGGGTCTGGGAATACAGAAATGTACAAGACAGTCTTGGCCCTCAAGCAATTTCTTTCTTTATTATTTTTTAAAAGAATTATTTATTTAGTTTTATTTATTTATTTATTTACTTTAATTTGATCAGAGAGAGACACAGAGAGAGAGGGAAAGTGAAAAAGTAAGCTGCTGGGTTCAGGACTCAAACCATGATTGACCATGTGGGAGTGTCCAACGCCTTAACCACCATGCCACCTCAAGCAATTTCTAATCCAATTCTGGGGACACACACTTAAACCAGATGCAGAGTGGAAAATACTGCAGTGGAAAGGCCCATGATAATATAGGACTGAGTAGGAAGAACATTTAGTTCAGCCTGGGGTGCATCAAGAAGAACTTAAATTTTTTTTTTTTAATAATTGCCAGAGAGTACATATGCTGACCAGAGAGAGATGTACACACAGGAAGAGAGAGAGAGAGAGAGAGGGAGAGGGAGAGAGAGCGAGAGAAAGCATCCCTCAGTGGGCATAGTCACATAGAGATCCCTTCTCCATTTCTCCATCCTGTTGGGACTTAGGGCATACATGCACATGTGCCCAGTGTGTTTTTTTGAGCCACTTGGGGACGAATTCAAACCATAGTCAGCCATGTGGGATCCAGCTCCCTTAACCACTAGGTTATGAGGCCAGCCTGAAGAGGACTTCCTGAAAGAGGTGATATATGAGTTGAGGCTTAAAGAATACTTACAGAAGATCAGGGCGAAGAATATCCTAGACAGAAAGGACAGACTGAAAGACCCGAGGGGGAGCAGCCTGACCTGTTTGAGGAACCACATACACTTCCGTGTTGTTGGTGCCTATGGCCAGGCAGAGGCCATGAGGGAAGACAAGGCTGGGGCAGGCCGCAATAGCAGCTGATAAGGCTTTCTTATGTGAGTAAAACTTAAGAATGACCTATGGGTGTCTTTGAGGCTTACCTATTCCAGGTACCACCCTAGGGAAGCCTGATTTTCTGCTCAGGAGAGGGTAGGACTGGGCAGGGATGGAGGGATGCTGGGAGAACCTGCAAAATTGTTTTTCTGCCCCCAGCTGCATTGCCACCTCCAGATGACGGGGTTCCCTCAGGGGGTTGAGGGACAGTTCTGTTTCACAACACCCCCCTTCCCTTCCCCTCAGTGTCCCCAGAGGCCAAAAAAAAGAGGAAGCATTTTGCAGACTTCCTCCTGAGTTGGTGTACCCGGTGTAACCAAGCCAGGCCAGTCATCTCCTCAGGGGGCAGGTTCAGGCCTGCCTGCCACATTCTGCCAGATAAAAAGGGCTGAGGGCCCAGCTGCTGTGGTGAATGGTAGTACAGTGCCCTGCAAAGCTGAAAACCATATTGCAGACCACGGGGTAGAGTCTCAGGATTGACCTGAAAACACATGGGTCCCCAAGATCTTGAGGAGCTGGAGGGCTGAGGAAGGGGATGGCAGCCTGATAAGACCCTTTAAGGGTGCACTCATGTACACTCCATCATAACTACCCCATCCCATCCATTCATTAGTGGCCACGCTCAAGCGGGGTGTACCCAGACCTGGGAACAAGAGTGGCTTCTAATGTAGCTCTTCTGTGGGTGCCTCAACCAGGTCCTCTCCTCTCTGAACTTAATTTCTTGAAAAGGCACACCCTTACTCAGCAATTTAAAGCTGGGGTGATGTGCTTGAATTAACACAGCTAGATCTTCACACACTTGCCACCGAATAGTATAGAGAGTATATTTCTTAAAAAAAAAAAAAAAAAAAAAAAAAAAAAAAAAAAAAAAAACATGGGGCCCAGCCAGTGGTGTGGCAGCTGGATCCCACGCAGCTGACTGCTGGTTCAAGTCCCAGACCTGGTGACTTGAGAAACATGCCAGGTGCATATGCATGTATGCAAAAAATCCAGAAAGGAGGGAAAAATGAGGAAGGGATTGCAGTTGTGACCCTTCCCTATGTGTGTGTGTGTGTGTGTGGTTGCTTTCTTTGCTTTCTCACTTTCTCTCTCTGTTTCTCTTCAGTGAGTACATGTGCCCTCTGGCAAAATTAAAAATAAAAAAAATCAGTAGTTTTGGACCAGCCAGTAGGCATGGTGATTAAGGCAGCTGGATATCTGGGCTGACTGTGCAGTTTGAGTCCCGGATGTGGCAGCTTAAAAGACATGCTGGTGAGGGACCAGCAGTTGGCATAATGGCTATGTTGCTGGACTCTCATGTAGTTTTCTGCGGTTCAAGTCCCGGACCTGGTGGCTTAAACTCATGCCAGGCATGTGTGTGTGCATGCCCAGAATCCTGAGAGCAGAATGGAGAAGGCATTGGCCATCTTCCCTGGGGTGATTTCTCACTTTCTCTTTGTCTCTTTCTCTGTCTCTGGCAAGTGCACATGCCCTATAGCAAAAGCTCTCATTAAAGAAAACCTTGGGACTGGCAGGTGGCATGGTTGTTAAGGGTACCATACTCCCACATGACCAACCATGGTTCAAGTCCCAGACCTGGCAGCTTGCTTTCTCATTTTCTTTCTCTCGCTCTATCCCTTTCTGGTCAAATTAAAATAAATAGATATAGTTAAATAAATCTTTTTTTTTTAAAGAAAATCTAAAAACAAGAAGAAAAAGACTAAAAGAGACTTTTCCAACAAAATCCCTCAACCTCTCACCTACACTCTACCACTAATAATTTACTTGCTTTATCACACGTCTGTTCATCAGTTCATCTTTTTAAAAAATGCATTTCACAGTAAATTACTTCAACATACATATTGTTAACTGGAACTCAGTATTATTTACAGCATTTTTATGTACAACAAAGTACACAAGATTAGGTGTTTATTTGATGATTTTTTTTTTTGAGAGAGATTTTTGCTATAAGGCACATGCTCTGATCAGAGACAGAGAGAGAAAAAGAGACAGAAAGCAAGAAATCACCCCCCCCCCCAGGGGGGGATGGCCACACTACAGTCCCTTCTCTTCCATTCTCTTTTCAGTATTTTGGGCAAGCATGCACATGTGCCTGGGGTGAGCTTCAAGACTCTGGGTCTAGGACTCGAACCTTTGGTTCAAGTGGAGTCCAGCAACATAACCATTATGCCATCTGCTGGTCCCATATTTGCTGAGGTTTTACAAACATATATACATCTACGTAACTTAAACTCCATTAAGATATAAATTTCCATTACCCCAGAAAGTTCCCTCTTGTTCTACAGTATATTTTAATTGCCACCATCCTAGGAGTCAGCACTCAGCCCAAGGCCAGGTATGTACTAAGTGATCAATAAATATTGGTTGGAGCAACAATTAAGTCTAGGAATAAATGTCCACATGACTTGCTCTCCTAAAGGTAGTGCCATGGTCTTTTCTCTTACATTCCCCCATAGAACTGGTACACAGTACCAATCCTTAATAAAGATATCTTTATATTATTAGTTATACATTGCCATGTAATAAATCACTCACAACTTCGCAGCTTACATGATAAATGTTTAGTATCTTGTACAATTTCTGTGAGTCAGAGGTCTGGAAGTAGCTTAGCCCAGTGGTTCTGATGTGGGGTCTTTCATGAAGCTGCAGTCAAGATGGCGTCTTGGGCTGCAGTTATCTGAAGGCTTGACTGGGGCTGAAGGATCTAAGATGGTACACTCTCATGGCTGTTGGCAGGAGGTCTCAGTTCCTCATCACGTGAACTTCTCCATAGATCTGCCTGACAGTGTTCATCATATGGTGCCTGGCTTCTCCTAGGACAGCAAGGTAAAATGTCACAATAGTTACACAAGTCATCCCTATTCCACGTGGGAAGGGTCTACCCAGGATCATGGACACCAAGAGGCAAGTCTAATTGGGGGCCACCTTGGAGAAGGTGGTCACTATGAATACGTGTTCAAATTTTCCAAACACTCACTTTGTGCGGGGTGCTAGGCTGAGTTCCAGGGAGTGTTGGAATGAATGAGAACTAGCCCTCTCCCGAGATCTGTGTGTTAGGGGTGGGAGTGGGGAGGTCAGGCAGATGAGGAAACAGATGGCATCCACAGAGAGGGACAAATACCACAATAATGGAATAATCAGTGTTTTAAAAAATTGCTTTGCTGTAATTCATATTCATGGCATCACATTTAAAATACATCATAAAAAGGGAGTCTGTTTTCCTCCGTATTCTACAGCAACACACCCCCAGCTCAGAGGCAACAGTCTCAACTTGTGTGTGTCTTTCCAGAACTATTCCCTGTTTACATACAAAGACATTTTCCTCCTTCTTTAAACAGAAAAAGCCCAGCACCGTTCAAAGTGCATTGTTCTGAACCTTGATTTTTCCTTTTCTTTTTCTTTCCTTTCTTTCCTTCTTTCTTTCCTTTTTTTTTTTTTTTGACTTATCCCACCTTAGAAATAATTCCTTATTAGTTTAGAGAGCTAACTCATTCTCGTTTGTGGCTGCATGATATTCTATTTCTGCATGAGCCACAATTTATCTAACCAGTCCCCTATCACAGAACATTTGGCTTATTTCTTTTCTTTTCATTCATTCTTTCTTTCTTTCTTTTCTTTTCTTTTTTTTTTTTTAAGTTTTTGCTATAGGGCACACGCACTTGTCAGAGAGAGACAGAGACAGAGAGAGAGAAAGTGAGAAAATACACCCTAGAGGATATGGCCATGTAGCAATCCCTTCTTCTTTTTCTCCTCTTGGGTTTTTGGGCACACACTCACATGTACTCAGTGTAATTCTCTAGCTGCTGGGTCTGGGGCTTGAACCTCAATTAGCCACATGGGAGTCCAGCACCATAACCACCACACAACCTGCTGGCTCCATCTGGCTTATTTCTAGCCTCTTGTAATTAGAGACAAAGCTACAATGGTTTTCTCTTTATATCTGTTTCCACTTGTGTGGGTTTAAACATAGGAGAAATTCCTGGTGGCAGAACCGTTGCATCAAAAAATACATGCATTTAAAATATCGGTAGCAGAGATGGATACCGAATTTGAGCTATGAAATATTGGTTTCCTTGACTAAAAATGAAGATTTTTCTGCTAAGACTTCTCCCTCCAGATTTATTTGTACTGGGTAGGGCTAACTCTGTCTCCTCTTCATTTCTCTCTCTCTCTCTCTGTGTCTCCCTGTGACTTTTTTTTTTTTTAAGGTATAGTATTCTCTGGGCTTTTAAGCCTCTCTTTTATTGGGCTAATTGGTGCCTTTCCCTCCCATAGAGGAGAGGCACAAGGAAGGGCACACCCCCAGGCCCATCCTGAGATGGATACCAAACTTGAGCTGTGAAGTATTGATTTTATGCGGCACACGTGTGCACCACACAGTTTTCATTTTTTGCTTTTTAAAATTAAAATCTAAAGTTTTTATCGTATTTTTTTTCTTCTTTTTTACTTTATTTTTTTCTCCTTTCCCCTTCTCTAATTCTTTTCCTTTTTTCTTTATCTTTATTCATTGGCTGCTCAGCCTCTACGTACTAAGTGTCTAGACAGGTCCAAGTGAACAGGATCCAAACATCTGAATATAATTAGGGTCAGGATATTCCCCTATTCCCACTGAATCTGAAGCACAAAGAATGAAAACAGAATGGAAGACAGACTGCAGATCACCTCCTCCTGCACGCCTCTGAATGCTGATTGAACTTCAAGAATTAGGAAGAGATGGGGACCAGCAGTTAGCATAATGGCTATGTCGCTGGACTCCCACATAGTTGACGGCGGGTCGCGTCCCGGACCTAGTGGATTAAACTCATGCCGGGTGCGTGTGTGTGCCTGCCCAAGATCCCGAGAGGAGAATGGAGGAGAAGGGATTGCGGCGTGGCCATCCCCCCTGGGGGGTGATTTCTCGCTTTCTGTCTCTCTGTCTGGCGAGTGCACGCGCCCTATAGCAAAAACCTCTCCAAAAAAAAAAAAGAATTAGGAAGAAATGGACCATCGGGTTTTAAAGATTTGTTTTCCTGTCTTGAGCTGCTGATAGGTTCATGCACTTACTATTTGAACAGAATCCTAACCTGTTTCCTAGCTTTAATAAGTTTTAAGCAAAGTTCCTTAGCATTTTTTTGATTTATTAAGGCTAAAACTGCTTTTCTTGAAATTAAAAAATATATTTAAAAATACCTATCTTGGGACCAGCATTTGGCATAATGGCTATGTCGCTGGACTCTCATGTAATGGACCGTGGTTTGAGTTCCAGACCTGGCGGCTTAACCTCATAGCAGGTGCATGTGCGTACGTTCCCAAGATCCCGAGAGGAGAATGGAGGAGAAGGGATTGTAGCGTGGCCATCCCCCCCCACCCCGCGGGGTGATTTCTCACTTTCTGTTTCCCTGTCTCACTCTATCTTTCTGGCCAGCGCACACGCCCTCTAGCAAAAGCCTCTCAAAAAAACAAAAACAAAAACAAAAACCTATTTAATGACCGTAATCATCTATACAGCATCAGCTAGGTGCTACCTTGCAGTATATGCATTCTACTTAGAGTTTCACGCCTGAACTCAGACATGTATTCACACATATGTATATACCAGCTGAACTTGCTATTGAAAGTAGTTGGATTCTTTTAGAAATTTTGTGAATCAATAAAATATGGGGGAAAAAAGGAATGAAAAAGTTCATAGACATCTGAGATAGTGTGGGAGGAGGGTGGGAAATGGCTGAGGGTGAGAAATAGGGAGAAATATATATATATATATGTGTGTGTGTGTGTGTGTGTGTATCACATTTTGTATGCTGTGATGATGCTCAGGGAATGAACAAATTAATTAATTAATTAAATATAAAAATTAGGAAAAAAAAAAAAGAAAGCTTGGTAATACACTTAGAGATTTTTATAAAACCAAACTGTCTGGTTTGGTTTTAGTTGTAAAATGTTTCAAAATTCAGGGCCGGCAGGTGGAGTGGTGGTTAAGGATGCTGGACTCCCACATGGCCAACTGTGGTTCAAGTCTCAGACCTGGCATCTTGCTTTCTCACTTTTCCTCTCTCTCTCCCCCTACCTCTCTCCTCTCTGGTTAAATTAAAAATAAATAAATAAGGTTAAATAAAATCTTTTTTTTTTTTTTAAATTATCATGGGCCGGGAGATGGTGTGGCAGTTGGGCACTGAACTCCCACACGGCTGACTGTGATTGGAGTCCTGGACCTGGCAGGTTGCTTTCTCACTTTCCCCGTCTTTCTCTATTTCTGTCTCTCGCTGCTCAAATTTAAAATAATAATAAAATTAAACAGTTCAAAAATAAAAAAGAAATCATTTAAATTTATCATAAAATATCTTTATCTTACTATTACATTTAAATTATTTTTATACGTTATTTTTATTATCTTCTCTAATAACTTATATTTCTATTGTTTAACCTTATACATTTTAATTTTTGTAAATTTGCATTTTACAAATAAAATAAAATACCGGTAGCTATTGTTCAGTGGGATTAATAGCATTGTCTCCTCCCACCTGAAATGTGTGAGGGTGTGCCTATTTTCTCACACTTATACCCACATAGTAATTTAATCAAACTTTCCAAACTCTGCCACTATAATAATTGAATAGTGGCTTCTCACTGAAGTGTTGATTTGCATCTATCTTATTATAAATGAGGTTGAGCATCTTGTCACACACAGTCATTCGGATTTTCCTTTCTGTGAACTCTCTTTAAACACTTGGCCTATTTGTCCATGGGGTTGTAGGTCTGTCTTACGTATTCGCAGATCCTCTTTACACATCAAAGGCACTATTTCTTTGTCTGCATGATAAACCTGAAAAACAAAAACTTGAGGGGGATAGGAGATGTTTTTCAGGAGAAATGAGAAGTTGCCACATATCCCTGCAGGGTTGCCCAAAGGCTGAGGGAGCGGCTGTGCCAGATGGAGCTCCAGAAGGTGATGCTGGAACCAAGGTGAGTGAGCGCAGGCGGAGAGGAGGAAGGACGGGGAGGCAGTCCTGAGCTCCCGCACTAGTTGAAAGGGGATCCAGTAGAAGACAATGGACTCTCCACCACAGACCTGCACAAAACAGGCAGGCCTGGATTTAAAGCCTCTTTGTTCCTCATCTGAAATATTAGAGGGTAGACAAGTCAGAAGGGGGACGAGCCATCAGTAGAGCTGCGATTTCTAATCATTTAGGCCTGATTCGCTGGTTACCACATCTGGAAACTCCAAATAACATTATTTAAATTTTATTTTAAATTGTCAGAGGGCACAAGAACTTGCCAGAGAGAGAGAGAGAGAGGGAGGGAGAAAGCAGGCCCCACGGGGTGTGGTCATGCCACAATCCCTCCACAATCCCTTCTCCTCCATCTCTTCCTCCTGTCGGGATTTGGGTCACACGCTCACATGCTCTTGGCATGTTTTTCACGTTGCCGGGGCTGGAGTTCCAACTGCAATTGGTTATGTGAGATCCAGTTCCCTTAACCGCTAGGCTATGGGGCTGGCCCAAGTAACATTAATTAACGGTAGTATAAACTCCTAGAGTGTAAACTCCAAGAGGCCAGGGTTTATATACTAAATAAATAGTCAGTGAATGAATGAACGAGTTAGTCTGATCAGAGGATGCAAGAAACTGCTATTTCTGAGCCAGGAGGGAGTCCTCCTCCCTCCCCTTTCCTTTTGAAGCTACCCTTTCCTCTTCCTTCCTCTGACTCCACCTGAGTCAGGTCTTAACCTCTCTTACCTGGTCTTCGTTCTGGCTCCCCACCCCATCCCCCTGCTCCTAGGGTCTCCTCTGCTCTCAACTGATTCTCCTTGCCAGCAGCTCAATTCACTTGAAGAAAACACAGAACTATTAGGTGGCTCCCCATGGCCTGTACTTCCTAGCTTGTTCTCCAAGGACCCTCTGAATCTTCCCTCTTCTCCGGTTTGCCCTCCTACAAGTCTTATCACCCACTGTGTCTCCCATTTCACATACTCCTGGCCCTGCAGCAATAACAATGTCCCCATTTACTGAGCACTTACTACATGTAATTTTACATGGATTACCTTGTGCAACCCTCACAACCCATGAGGCGTATGAAGGTGATGCCATTGTTTATTTCTGTTTAAGGTTTTTGCCAAAGGGTGCATGCACTTGCCAGAGAGAGAGATAGAGAGAAGAAAAGTGAGAAATCACTCCCCAGGGCGGGGGCAGTGGGAAAGGGATGGCCACACCACGACCTTTCTCCTCCATTCTCCTCTTGAGAGTTTAGGCACACACATCCCCCTGGTGTGATTCTCAAGTCACTAGGCCCAGGACTCAAACCTCAGTTGGCTGTGTGAGAGTCCAGTGCCTTAACTACCACACCACGTGCTGGTCTCTGAAGAAGTTATTATTATACCCATTTGATAGATGAGAAAAACAAGAACCCAGATGATGGAGTTGGGATTCAAAAACCGTTCCATCTGATATGCTGGCTAGAGCCTGATCACCCCATGAGCCCTGACTGGTTTCCGGTCTTGAAGCCTTCAGTGCTCCTTTCACGTTCCCTACCTTGCTGGGTTCCCACCTGGAGGGCTCTCTTTTATATTGTTCATGCAGCAAAAACTTTGTCCTAGGTCTCACTCATTGGTCACCTCCTCTGAAGCCTTTTCTAGCTTCGTTGGGAAAAGCTGGTTTCTCTCTCTTTGATTTTATGATTGAGAATTTTGTGCTGTGATTATCTGAGGACCGGTTTTCCTCCACCAGACTGTGCGCCCCCCAGTGGGCAGAGATGATGCTGCACTTCCCTGTAGTGTCTAACACAATGCCTGGTGCTGAGTGGGTGGTCTCTGGCCCGTGACTTGAGTAGCGGTGCCCCAGGATTCCTCTTGACTTGCACTAGGGGAGGACTGCCAGGAGTCTCCAGATGGAAGCTAGAAAGGAGTAGGGAGTTGCAGGATCCCAATGAGAGAGGCTTCCAAGGGGCAGCTGGAAATGATGTTACTAGCTTCACCACTGTCCTTGGTCAGGACTGTCCTTAGGGGATCCAGCTGGTGGGGAAGTTCCATTCTTGCATTACCCCACAGATCTTTGGGAACCAGCTGCCCCCTCCCCAGGGGATTTCCCCTTTTGTGATGCCAGGAGTAGGGAGTTGCAGGATCCCAATGAGAGAGGGTGCCAAGGGGCAGCTGGAAATGATGTTACTAGCTTCACCACTGTCCTTGGTCAGGACTGTCCTTAGGGGATCCAGCTGGTGGGGAAGTTCCATTCTTGCATTACCCCACAGATCTTTGGGAACCAGCTGCCCCCTCCCCAGGGGATTTCCCCTTTTGTGATGCCAGGAACCCAACCATGAAAAGAAATGACCCTGGCAGGGTCTCTGGGAGCATAGCCAAAGTCTGTGCTTGGAGGCTGAGCTGCCCCAGCCAGGGCCCTTTGGGCCTCAGACACCAAAGGGTTACACAGCTTTGGTAAGACGGGTAGTTCAGGGGCAAGTGGGGACTTCCTTAGGGTGTGAGGGAAATTGCCCCATCCCAGAGCTATGGGGTAAGACCCAGCCCAGTGCCTCTCAGCAATGCAGTCGTTGTGCACTGCCAGGAGCACGGGCAGTTTCTGTGCTCCATTCTCCTGCAAAACCCTGAGCCTTTCGGTGAGACCCCAGTTTCCTAGGCTGCCTCACTCAGGAACTTACTAAGGTCCAAGTGCCTGAGCCTATGTATGATCCCTACATCCCAAAGACTGGTGGACTGGATAGTAGAGAGGGTAGGAACACAGGTTCTGGAGTTAGCCAGATCCTATCACCAAATCCCATTTTGCTAAACATACAAATTCTATGGCCCAACCTCAGCTCTATGGTGTCAGAAACTCTGGGATTAGGGCCCAGGCTTCTGTGTTTTAGCAAGCTTTTTAGGAGATTCTGAAGCTTACTATAGTTTGAGAGCAACTGCCATAGATAATCTTAATAGGCGGGCCACATTTAGGGTGGAGATATTTGGAACATCAACATCAACAAGGGATTAATAACTAAACAGTATAAGCTATTCTTTCAAATCAACAAGAAAAAGACAGGAAATGACGGGACCAGCAGTTGGCATAATGGCGAAGTTGCTGGATTCCCGTGTAGTTGGCTGTGGTTCGAGTCCCGGACTTGGTGGATTAAACTCACGCCAGGTGTGTGTGTATGCGTTCCCAAGATCCTGAGAGGAGAATGGAGGAGAAAGGATTGTGGCATGGCCATTCCCCCGGGGGGTGATTTCTCACTTTCTGTCTTTCTGTCTCTCTGTCTTTCTGGGGAGCACACACACCATATAGCAAAAACCTCTCAAAAAAATAAATAAATAAATAAAAATAAAAAGAAAGAAAAAAAGAAAGAAAAGAAACTCCATAGGAAATGAACAAAAGATATAAACAAGCAATTTTTAGAAGGGAAAGCCCAAATCTCTGATAAGTATAGGAGGAGGCTCTAATCCCCAGGGTTTGCAAGTTAAAAGCAACAGTGAGATGCCACCTGTCACCTGAACTAACTGGCAAAATCACAAGCTTAAATAATGTAAAAATTGATGGTGAAGTGGGGGAAACAGCTGTTTTTTTTTTTTTTTTGTAAGAGGTTTTTGCCTTAGGGCATATGCGCTTGTCAAAGAGAGAGAGAAAGAAATCACCACCACCCTTCCCCCGCAGGGGGGTTGGCCACACTACAATCCCTTTTCCTCTATTCTCCTCCTAGGATCTTGGGCACACATGCACACAAGTCGGGTGTGAGTTTTAAGCTACTGGTCTGGGACTTGAACCATGGTCAGCCATGTGAGAGTCCAGCGATGTAACTGCTATGCCATCTGCTGGCCCCAGCAACCTCACATTGATGCCGATGGAGATTTCTGGAAGAATATAGTGAAGTTTACAATGTGTCTGCCCTGTGATCTAGTCATTCCAGCTGTGGGATACAGAGCCCAGAAGATTTTTTACATAGGCCCCCAGAGTCATGTACAAAGACGTTCATCACAGTGCCATGTGAGGTAAGAAGGAGCTGAAAGCAGCCTTGGTGTCCATCACTGGGAAATGAACCGATAAAACAGCACATACATAGCTCAGAATATTTTGCAGTAGTTGGAAGCAATAAGCTAGATTTTTCCACAAAAACAGGGGTAAACCTTAAAAACATGGAGCAGGATAATCCTATAGTGGCAGTAGTTAAGTCCTGCTGGGAAGTGCTCTCTCTCTCTCTACCTCTCTCTCTCTCTCTGGTGCACAGTGCCCTCTAGCAAGCAAACATGGAGTGTGAAAAAAAAGAAGCAATGGAGTGCGAGTCTGGTATAATATCACTATGTAGTGCACACACACACAAAGCATGGTCTATGTTACCTCCAGGGATAGAACAACAGGCAGGGGCGGATGACCATGGAGGTGGAGGAGGAGTGTGGGGAACGTGCGAATGTGGAGGGGGTAGGGCCAGGAAATAAAATAAAGCAAAACATTAGAAGGGCCTCGCCTGGACCAACGATGATGGGGTGACCCTTTGCCACAGACTGAATATGAATCATAAAACTCTCTGGACGTGATGTCTTAGGAAAAATATGATTCGATAATGGATGACCTCAGTCCCCACCTCACGGTAAGTGCCACATGTCCCGCCTTGGACAGATTTGAAAAGTTTTGTGAATAGACGTGAGGCTCTTCTATGTGAGGCTCGGGCCTCCTCTCAGGCCTTGCCCCTTTCAGCCTTTGTCAGAAGCACTAAGTCCCATACTTACCCCGACCCGCTACCTCTCTCACCTCGCCTTCAGATTTCTTTGACTGCTCCAAGCTCCCAGATGGCTGTTTGTGGAGTCTTGAGTGTTTCTCATTAGGGGTTTGTGCACAGAGCCAGGCTGTAACAGAGCTGCAAGGGGTGAGTCCTGTGTCTCCTTCCCAAGCTGTGAGTTCCAGAGGGTCTTTCCTAACATTTCATGCCCACCTCAGTTCCCACCCCATGGCTCCCGGGCAAGTCAGGTAAACCGAGTCAGAAAGCATTCAGTGCGGCAGGGGACAGCTTTTATTGAGTGCTTACGTTGCGCTAGACTCCACAGTCAGGTCTTGACCTCCAGTAATCCCCAACCACCCTGGGAGGTAGACCGGCTGACCTCCTTGGACAGGTAAAGAAGCCGGAGGCACAGAGAGGCTGGGACATCACCTGACAGGAGTCAGAGAACTGTCTGCCTCCAAATTTCACTCTGAATCCAAGATCTGAGCGACTCGTTCAGAGTTTTAGAGCCAGGACTGAGACCCACCTCACCCCCGGAGTCACCTCTCAGTGGAGGCAAACCTCCATTCCAGTGCAGCACAACTCCTGCCATCAGTGGAGGGCAGACCCTACCGTTTCGAGCCTCAAAGACCCTTTCGCTGTGTGAACAGCCGGTGTGAAGTATGTGTAAGGAGCAGCAGCAGATCCCCTGGTTTTGAACCTCAGCTTCTCAGTAGTAAACTAGGAAGAACAGAGAGGTCTGGAAATTCTTTTCTCCTTCTGCCAACAGGTGGAGACTTCTCTGCATCTTTCCCTCGGCTTCCAGAAAGCTGTGGAGTTTGGAGTAGAAAGTGTCGGGGGACTAAGCCCTCAGGGCTAGTGAGACAAAGCACAACCACCGCCCATGCTGGGGTGGCAGAGACTGGCTTGAGCCCAGACCCACTGCTCAGGACTAGAGGGTGCGGCTTTGCTCTCCCCCTGCAGGGCAGTGTGGGAACTGCAGGAGCTCAAGCCCGAGGGCGAGGACAGAGACCCGGGAGGGCCGACGCCCTGGCCAGAGTGTGAGGGGCTCCTGGGAATGGAGGTGCCACAGGCAAGAGTGAGTGAGAGTCAGGGAGCCGCGGGCCATCGTCTTCTATGGCATCCGCCCGGATGACGGCTACAGGTAGTTGTCTTCGACCCCTTCGCCCCGGGACTCGTCGTCATCATCATCATCGTCGTCGTCATCGGGAGCCAGTGCCTCAATGTCGTGCGTGATGTCGGCCAGCAGCCGGTGGAAGGCCTGCGCCTCGGGCCGCTGGGCCGCGCCATCATAGCTGCGCACGGCCGACGCCGACGTGGAGCTCATGCTGCGCTTGATGCGGCCGAAGCTGTCGGTGAGAATGCCGCCCTCGCGGATGCCCACGCCCTCCAGGAAACCCTCGAAGTAG